CTGGCAGCAAACACTGGACAACATATCACTGGAGGAATGGTGAGCCCAAAGGGGTGTCCTTGGTCACTACAGCTGGAGCAGTCTCCTCCTTGGTCCAGAGAACCTTCCTGTGATGTGGCAGAAACTGAGGGAATGATGAGGGAAGCTTTGGGCGCCCTTGGTCACAGCGGTGTAGTCTGAGGCTCAGAAGGTAAAGCACTAGGTACAGGACTCTGCATGCAGCCATTTCAGTTCAAAGGTCTGGTGGAATGAAAAGGAAACATCCAGCAATAAAAGGATTGGGGGAACATGAATCTTTTCCTCAAATCTATAGTTGTGTTTTTCTTCTGCAGTTTCTTTAAATTGTTTTTGTTATACTTTTTAGATGGCAAGATACTTTTTCCCACTGAGCCTATTTGTTGTTGGTGGCTCCTAAGTGATTCCCAAGCTGAGTGCTCCTTGCAGACCTCAACACAGACTGCAGAGCAGTCCTAAGCAATTTCATTCCCCTTCTTGACTCTTTGGGAGGCAATGACAAACTGCTGTCTTGACTTGGCTGTCAACAAAATTGGATCCTTACTTACCAAGAGTGATGTAGTCTTTTAGGCTGCACTCTTATTGATCCTATTAGCTTTCTTAGCAATTCATGAATATTTATGGCAACATACCAGCTGCACAGTTTACTGGTTCCCTTAGAGAGAAAGTTGCATTAAATTGGACATAGTTCAGTGACTTAAAGGCATCAAATATTCTCAAAGCTCCTGAGCGATGCATCCCAACAAAGGGGAAGTCAGGCAAAAATGCCGGGAGGAACAAGGAGCTCTTGAAGCATCTCCATCTCAAAAAGGAAGCCTGAAAGGGCTGCCTACACAGAAGTTGGCTGAGCAGCCAGGGATCAGGTTAGTTAAGCTAAAGCACTGATAGAATTATATCTGGTCAGGGACATCAAGGGCAACAAGAAATGCTTTTATAGTGATAAAATGAAGGCTAGGAAAAATGTTGTCCATCTCTGGAAGGAAATGGGAGACTTGGTTGCCCAGGACATGGAGAAGGCTGAAGTACTCCGTGACTTTTTACCAGTCTTCACTGGCAAGTGCTCTAGCCACACTGTCCTGCTACTTTCCAAAGGCAAAGGCAGGGACAGGGAGAATGAACGAGCTGATGTGGGAAAAAACTTGGTTTGAGACTGCCTAAGGAACCTGAAGGTGCACAAGACACCTGATAAAATAAATTCATGGATCCTGAGGAAAGTGGTGAAAAAAGTGGCTATGCACTATATTTGAGAAGTCATGGTAATTTAGTGAAGTTCCCACTGACTAGGAAAGGAGAAACAACCCTAATTTTTCAATAAAGGAGCTACAGAGCAGTTAGTTTCACCTTGGAGCCTAGCAAGATCATGGAGCAGATCCTCCTGGAAACTGTGCTGAGGCACATGGAAAATCAGGAGGTGATTGGTGACAGCTAGCATGGCTTCACTAAGCAAATGGTGTCTGACAAATTTGGTGGCCTTCTATAATGGGGTTAAGGAGAAGTTGTTGCTGCCCCATCTCTCAAAATGTTCAAGGCCAGGGGTGCAAAAGGTGGTCTAGTGAAAAAGGTGTTGCTCTAAGGTTCCTTCAACCAAAACCATCCTATGGTTATGATTCTGTGTTTTAAAACTCATGTATTTGTGGTGAATAAATCTCCAAGTAAATATACAAGTTGTATGCTTTAGCACCTCCCCCTTTCTTTTTTCAGTTGAGTAGGATGTCTAGAAGTGGACTTGCTGTGATCTAAATCTTAGTCCAATTCTGATTTCCTTAGTAAAAAGAAATTATGCTTTCTATGGGGACTCTCTATAGGTTTGGAATTGCCATAGATTTTAGGCCTGCTGCAGGTTTTTGCTGCTGTTGGTACAGATCTTTAATCCTGTTATCTTTTTTCCTGAGAAGTTCAGTTGTTTCAAGTCTCATGGCAAGAACCAAAGCAGAGACTATATCCTTAAAGAGATGAGGAAATGCCACATGTACCTGACTGAGGCCAAGGATAGTGAATGCATCTCAAAACCATTCCTGCACATTTCTAATCCTTGTGCCTTTCAGAGTTTGAATCACCAGCACTAAATGGAAGGGTTACCCATGCATGCAGCACATGGATTAATCTGCCCTTCTCAACAGCTTGCTTGATTTGCATTCAGCTTTAGAAAATGATGTAACTTCTAATATATGTAAGCTGCAGACTGAAGGTTGTAAAGGGTGTCAAACAGGCTTCAAGCTGTATTACAGATGTCCTTTCTGGTACTGAAGATACCACTCTGCATACACACTGCAAAGAGAGCAGCAGTATGTGAACTGTAGTGGCCTTGTGTGTTAGACACGCCCTTGTGGCTACCTGAACACCCCCTCCCATCAGTAATTTTTGCTGGGGTGTGTCTTGCAGACAAGTTTCTGCCACAGATGGTGCTGAGGCATTGTTTTTTGAATCTTACTTTGGAGATTTTTGTTTGCTGTCGGAATCTTCTGGAGAACTACTGGGGCTGAGCTGAAATGATTAAAACAGAGCAATTAAAAAGAAGGGATAGCAGGGAATGCAGCCACAGAAGCCAGCCTGCTACTGCACTGGTTTCACAGCTGACTGCATAACTGGATATCTGACACAACAAATGTTGCTTTGAGCTCTGTTCTCTGCTGAGCCATGGCAGTGATTCCATGGAGGCTTTCTTGTGGGTTATTATTATTAAAGACTTCTGATTAGAAAATTAAACCAGCGATGTTCTGACTACTCAGAATATGTCTTTGCAGAAAGGAAGGAAATAACAAGGTGAAGACCAACAGGGAGGGGAAAGAGTCTGGGGACTGCTGTGATGGTAGTTTCTGAGCAAGCACATGAAATCTGTCATTCTCCTGCCCCAAAAGAGAAATCCTAAAAGGCAGAGATTTTTGAGAGTGTCTGTCAAGTCTATATTTCACAGATTTAAAGTGGAAAAAAGAAAAGGGGAAAAAAAACCCCCAAAATAAGAAGAAATGGACACGTGTCTCTCTGGGAAACTGAGCTTACAGCTTCTGGCTGGTAAATATGCCAAAGTCTGCCAATTAAAATAAAATTTTGCAAAATTCCTCTATAACTATACCAAATATTTAGGCTAACAGAAGGGAATTCAGCACAGAGGCTGGAGGAAACATTAGTCAGGGAAGATGAGAGAGCTAGAGGTGATGGTGCATGTTGGTGCTCTGAAAGAACATTAAAGAGGCAGGTACTGCCAATCAGTTTAAAATGGAAGAGAAAAACAAGAATCAATATATTTTGTTTATTTTTATTTTACTTACTTTTACTTCAGGGTTATGAGAAATAGATTTTAATTTCTCCTTTCAGAGGTCACAGTGTATTATTGGTTTTGACGAGAATACAGGCCCAGGCATGGAAATGCTTCTGCTTATACTATGTTAACATGTTATGGGGACTTCAATCTCACAATCTCCCACTGTATCACCACAAATGAAAACCCCAGGATACTTTCTAACCCTAATAGATAGCAGCTTACATGCACTATTGTATGAGTTACTGCAGTACTGTTTTGATATTAAGGTGACTTAATGACAAATAATGGAGGTATAAACCTGAAAAAAGACTTTTTGTCAGCCTAGTGCAGAAAAGCACATTAGAGACAGAACAAAAGCTGTGATTTTACAGGGGAAACAACCCAATGTTATTTTTATTTCTTTTGTAGTAAAGTAGGTGATTGTGGTCAGTTTACCCTGTTTTAAGTCATTATTGCCTTTGCACCTACTCTTAATTATGCATTTGGAACCAATCTATCTGAAACTGTTCCTTCCATTAGTGGTGCCTGGAACTTGTACTTCTTTCACAGTAAGCCTACTTCAATATTAACTCAAAAAGTATTTCGTGCTTTCAGCAGGGGAGATATGGATAAATGTGTCAAAGGCAGAATGTTAGTAGTTTAGAGTGTCTGTACTGTCAGATGGTGGCCTGCTCCTAACCTGAGTACAGCACAGTGAGTACCTGAGAGCGCAATGTAGCCATGTCTTCTGTCACACACACATACATAAATCACAAAAGGACATATGGGCAAAATGGTGTGAGTAGAAGCTTTAGAAAGCTGTTTCAAAGTAATATCACAGACAATCCATCAGTCGCTGGAGTTATTTAAGGAAGCGATGACATGAATGTTGCATTTGGCTTCTGGTAAGCTCCTCTAGACAGACTTTAACCTTCCTTTTCAGTGTGCGCATTTATGTGTGCTTTGCTCTTCTTTTACAGTGACTTGGAGAGTTGTTTCCCTCACAGAAATGGCAGTAACTGCTTAATTCCAAAATGCTTAAATGGAAGATCTATTGCCATGAGTTTTTGGACCCAGATCAGGACACCAGAAACATCAGATTGCAGGACAGGAGAAAGAGCTCAGAACTAATTCTCTTTCTTAAGAAAGTATCTTCCAGGGATTCCTAAACTAGATGTGCAAAATGATCCATATTATGAAAAAGTAGGCTTCATTTGAGAAACCTTGCCAGCTGGAGCACAGGGAGAGTGAAGTCCCGCTTTTCCTGTGTTGTGAAATGGATAGAGCCAGCACAGAGGAGCTCTTTGCCTAGACAAAAGAGACCTGTGGCACTGCACTTAGGGCAACTTTTTTCTTTTAGTTTTCTTGGCAAAACCAAAGGAGGAGAGGCCTGAGGAACTAAATAATGGAGAATGATGCAGACTGTCACAAGCTCAGACTGTGTTAGTGAGCTGCAGACCTTGGTCATGCCACCCTCTGTGGAACCGGAAGGACATGAAGTGCCTTCTGACAAACTTCCAAGTTTGTCGCATGTGGTTATAATTTTTATTTGGAAAACACTGGAATACCATCTAATGTTCTTGTGGAGAGATAGAATGTAAGAGAATAGTGCAGAAAGCAATCTCACACCTGAGGAGTTGCAGCTGTACTAATCACCAAAGATTAGGAACAGGCCTGCCCTTAACAGGCCACAGCTGTGTCCAATAAGGATGAGTGCTACAAAATAGTAGGTGAGCTGGGTGAGGGGAGAGTTGGAATTTGTTGGCTGTGCTGTGAGGAGCTACCAATGAGAAATCACTGAGAAGGTGTGGAACTGTTGCAATAAAATGACAGCATGTTCTCTGTTTTGGAATCAGGATTGTGGTGCCTGATGTTTTTTTCTTCCAGGGTTCTATAAAATCTTCTATAATTTTAACTGTTGTGGTTATGGACTCTGGATAAGGACTCTCTTGCTGAGTGAAGCAGACCAGAGATTTGAGTTAGAATAAAACACTTTAAAATGGTAAGCAGTTCTGTGAGTATTTGGGGTCCTTTAGCTTTTCTTGGGGAGGTTTAGCATCTGTCAATTGTACTAGAAGCCACAGTTGTCCTAGCAAGGGCTGTCCTTTATGGCATAACAAGCTGATGCATATCCTTGTCAATTCAGTGTTTTCTCAGGGCTCTCTCTTTGTGAGAACACAGCCTGTTGAAAAAAAAAAAAAGCCAAAGTAGCTCATCCAAATAACATGCTATGTGTGGATAAAACTATAATCCAGTGGAGATTTGAGTTTTGCTCTTGTGGAGCATCTTGGGGAAGGGTAAATCCTTAAGCTTAACCTTTTACCTGATTACTACTAGGGGTAATTAAGATGATGGTCAATTGCACCTTAGTGGCAGCCATGTATCTCTCATGAAGCATTCCCCTCTGAGACCTTTAGTGTATTTTGTAATGCTTTCCTTTTTTTCTCTTTTTGAAACAATTTATTATACCCTTCACAAAGCAACCATCTCATCATAGAGCTTAGTCATTATTGCACAACTTGAGCTGTCAGTAGGGTGGCAGGATTAATGTGTGGTTCCTTCACTGTTTTTAACATAAACCCTGGAATATGTGTTGTTTGTTTTGATTTTATTTTTTTAAGGCTAGCTCATTGTTTGTTTTCCCCAGCCTAAGTTTTAGAGTATTATAGTGCTTTTAAGTGCTTCAGAATTCACAGATGATGGTAGAAACAAGGCTTGGTAGCAGCTGATGAAGAGTAGCTCTTTCCTTGTGACTTTCCTCCATTCTTTCCTTCACAGCAGCCTTTACTATACAGAGTTTGTGTACATCTTTATCTACATCTTCTGTTCTAGGGAAGGACTTTTTCAATAAATATGAGCTGGAGTAGCAATATTTCTAGACAGGAATCATTAGCTAATGGATAAAGCACTAGACTGACATTCAAGAAACAAAGTGGTTTAAAGTGAAACTTTACAATGCAAGTGATAAAAAAGATCATTATTTCGTTATTTATTGTGTTTGATTTTAGACAAAGTGTGCTTGGTTCTAAAACAAGGGAAGGAAATGTGTGAATCAGTCATCCCAAGTACTCCCTTTGGGACCCAGAGGCCAAACATTAATTTATGAACCATTACCAACTCCAGAAGTTTCCACTGGCAAAGTTATGTGGCTATCCTGTGTCTCTTAACTATACAGCCCTGGTTATACAAATGAAAACCAAACCTGTGGTATAGGTGGCTTTGTCCATGGTACCTATTTATTCTGTGTACTATCCTTTCACATTTAAAGAATTAGCTGCCTAGAGGCCTGGGCAAAGAAAGAGATCAAAAAGGATACACATTGTACTCCTGAACTGGGACTTCTGATTACTTAAGTAGCTGCTGCAGGCACTTATCAAGTTTAAATTACTGCTGAAGGGCTATCTTGAATGCAGCTAGGGGGTTGTTAAAATGTGCTAATGGCTTATGGTTTTCATTGTGGGGCACCAAGGTGGATGACTTGAGTTCCTATGACCTACATTATGTCCTGTGCAGGTGCAGAGGAGACAGAAGAAATTTTCATTTTAGTATAATTTATTTGAACTAGAGTTTAAGCTAAGGCCTTAAAAATACTTCTGTGGTCTCTTTGTGTAGAGATGCCCTGTGGGGGGCAGCTGTTAACTGTTCACACATGGGAAGGCCTGGCAGGCTGGAATAACCTGTGTTCAAATTGTGCCCTGTTACACCTGTGATCATGACTCCGAGTCTGCACTGATGGACTTAATTGTCTTCAGTGGGACTGGGGCTTATGGAGAGCAGTTTGGCTCAGCAGGTGAAACCAAGGCAATGTGCTCATGTGTCGGACTTTATATATTGAAATAAGCAACCCATCCTTTCCTTACCTGCAGCTGTGTTTGGAAGTAGCAAACTCTTTAATGAGTCAAAATTCTTCAATTCAGCAAAGATGACTCTGAATGTTCGTGGAAAGTGAGTCTGCGTAGTGAACGTGTGCCACCTTTGCACAGTGTAATTGTCTTGCATGGACACTGGGGGGTGGATTTGGTGAAGGAGAAGGTACAGCTAAATCACCAGACTGCTCCAGTATTTGTGCCTGTGCTGCCTTTTGCACTTGCAGGCATGGGAATATGCAGCCTACTGACTCTTTGAGAGGGTGAGAGCTCTTCTCTGCGTAACATTAAATTTTCTGTCTTGGTGTTGCATGTGTGGCATTAGATTAGCTCAGAGTAGAAGTGTATGGGTGGTGTCAGCCCTTGTGACTGCAAAAGGGCAGGTAATGTATGAATTTATTGAGTTTAGAGATCCTAAAGGTTTCAATTTGTTGAAAGTAGAGGTTCTTTTGGACAGAGTTCCAAGGTGAGTTTAGAATGAAACCCGGCTGGAAGGGCTGTCTGAGCTTACTTGGAAGAAGGCAGGAGGTAATGTTTTTAATCTGTTCTCATGAAAAGGACATTGGTAAATTAAGGTTAAAAGATGGTTTGATATAGAGTGCAAATAACTTCTTGCTGTTACAAAGACTCCAAACTACCATATTTGGAATTGTGTGTGTAATCAAGTAATTGTTGGGGGTTTTTGTTATATTGCTTATAAAGGAATTTCAATCAAGAATGTCCTTTTTTGGACCTCTCTTTTGAAAGTCCTATCAGCTGGCTTGATGCAGAATTCATTTTACTATGACTCTGTGTTGCCATTTCTTGAAAGCTATCTTTGTAGCAGGAAAGAATGTTCTCTGCTAGAGGTGATGGAGCAGGTGATGGCTGTAGAGGTGAAAGGATGTGGTCTGCTAACAGTGATTTCTATAATATACTCACTGGTATTTTGAGGGAAAAATAGAATACTGAGAGAGAGTTCCTTGCCTTTCTTCTTAAAAATTAAGTGATTTCACAAATATTCTATTTGTGAATATACTGTTCATTCAAAAACAGTCTGGAAATGTTATAACTGAAATAATGATTCCTTTTTACCTTTTCTCAGTTAAATAATAAACCTTAGACCAAGAAACCCCTATTGGAGCAGGATAATGAGGTTTACCAGATAGATCTGGCACCAGGAATAATAATCACTGTGAATGGACCCAGTGAATAAAAGAAACAATGATAGAAGCCCGTTCCTATCAAAACCAAAGTATGTCTGGATAGGAAGGTATTCCTCTTGCTCTGTAGAGCAGCCTGGCTAGTTGGAACTGGAAAAGAAGGACCATAATGGTTTGGGATGCACAGCTCTTCAAGATACTGATGTTGAGTCTGATTTGGTAGCCTAATAGTTGGAGCATTCACTTGGAAGAACAAAAATGAGTGCCTAATGTTTGAAAGCTTGGGATACTGCCTAGTTCAAAGGTCACAGATCAGAGTCTGTAGTGCTTATTGCCTCTTCCTTGTCTGATAATGAACTGTGCTGACTATTTCATGTATTAAAGGAACGTAGACGTGACTAATTCTACAGAATGTGCTGAGGAAAACAGATTTGCTGTGGTTTAGCTTCAGATTTGCTGTCAGTGAGTCATAAAAGTCTATAAACTAGATCACATTTTTGTTAAACTACTACTGATGATTTCTGTATATTTTCCAAGAATAGGTCTGTAGCTGTCTCCTCTCAGTCCGTGCTGAAGATCACTTGCTTTCCTTTGCTCTGAAACAGCAGAGTGCTCAGGCAAGCACAGAGCAATTCACTCAATGTGTTGCCAAAGCACCTGTACAGTTTGCAGATTTTCTGCACAAAGGAAAAATTCCATCTTCGATGCCAACCTGACACAACCTTTGTGTTCTGGTCAAAGGAGGTTTTCAGGTATCATAGGGAGAGAAGAGAAACTGTAAAGGCTGGGAGAAATGGTCGGAAAACTAAGACTCTGATTCTAACTCGCATGGTAATTTGTCTTGCATAGTGAACTTGCTCATATTAGTTAATTCAGAGTCCTGCTGCATGTCTGGAATGTGGAGTTCAGTGTAGATGAATAATAAATGAATGTAAGAATGTTAAATTCAGAAGTTAATTTTAACAGCATCACATGCATTAGTGACAGTATTAAAAAAATGCATGTGGGTTTATATTCTGCAAAGCTGTGACAGTTATTTTATGTGACTTGCCAGCACTTGTAAATGTTTAACTTAGATGGTGCTCTTGCATACTATACTCCCTAATTTTTATGTTCTGCGCTGAGTTGAGTTTGACATGGGATTTTTCTAACTCTAGTAGTCTGCGATATGTGATGTACATGTGTGATAGCTTTAAATTAACTAGTCTGAATATGGCTAACAATTGAGCTATGTGATTATAAAAGTATTTTACATGTCTGAATAAATGCATTAGTGGATTGCTTTTGTGAAATTTAGTAGGGTTGTTTTTCCTGTGCTCTTTACCTAACCTGAGTTATCAAATTGAACATCAAGTATGTGGTTAAATGTCTAAAACTTAAGGATAATAATATTATGTAGCTTAAATTTTGTCAGGAGAGATCTTTTCATGCTTGTAGCCTCTCCACTTCTCCAGCCCCAACATCTGGTTGATATTCCTGTAACTTTGCCTGTTTCTTCTTAAAACAAGGATTGCTAAAGTGGGCAGCTTTTCTTTTGTGATTGCATCCTTGGTTAGTCCCTCATCATGAATCATTCTTGGGCATTTGTAGAACTGTTAGTTTCTAAAAGATTATTTATAAGCTGTATATAGATGGCACAAAAACACTTTGGAAAAGCACAAAAGCACTATGATTTTTGAACAAACCTCTATGAGCAAAGAGCAGTTTGTGGTTGTGTCACAGACATGTTTTATGAAAAATGCTTTCCTTAGATTTTTTTTCCTGAGAAGCCGAGAGGCCTCAGAAACAAAATGTCAATAGTTATCTGCTGCTGTGGAATGCAACAGGTGGATCTGTGATTGGTCTGTGTTGGTTGTTTCTAAATAATGGCGAATCACTGTCAGCTAGCTCCGACTCTGAGAGTCAGGAGCTTTTGTTATTCATTCCATTCCCTCCTTTCCTTACAAGCCTTCTGATGAAACCCTTTCTTCTATTCTTTTAGTGTAGTTTTAATATAATATATATCATAAAATAATAAACCAGCCTTCTGAAACATGGAGTCAGATCCTGGTCTCTTTCCTCTTCCTGGACCCCTGTGAACATCACCACATGGTCGTGTCTGTGGCAGCTGTGTAGGTGTACCTCTCCAAGGCACTGTTTGGCTCTGGAAAGTGGCTGGTTCAGTGGAATTTTGATTACAAAGGAGAAGTTAAAGGCAGGAGAGGATTTGTCTTCCAGGCTGGGAGCTACTTTTTATCCTGTTCTTGTAACTCTGTGAGTAGACCTAGAGCCTTTTGGCTGCAGCAGAAACATCACTGTTACCCTCAAACCAGACTTTGTATGTGGATGGGATTTGCAAATTAATTGCTTGCTGCCTTTTAAGAAGTTGTCTCTTTGCTGAAATTTAGAACTCCTGATTTTAAGAAAAACTGAAGAAACCAGTTTTGATTCTTTTTATGCTTCATACATCTTTGTTTATGCTAACTAGCCACACTTGAAACAATCAAATGTATCTTATGACTTGCATTTTGTATCAATTACTGTTGAAAGAATGATGGTGTAAAAATGTGTGGATTGCGCCAAAACCAATAGATGTTAATTATTTTCTGATATTCAGAGTCTGTGGCCCTGTATATAATATAAATGGAACACATTTGTACCCAAGATGGTCCTTTTTTAAGAGAGCAACTTTGCATATTCAGTAGATACATAGGATATATGTAAATTCACAACACCTCTGTGGAAGCTGGAAATAAAAAAATTATAAGTGGTGACATGTATAAATCTCAGATCATCACTAGTTTTAGTCTACTGTTATGAAAAGACAGGATGGAGTGATCACATGATAATAGAAAACATTAAAAGAAAATTGTCTCACTCATTTGTATACTGAAGCAGCATAGTTTGCTTGGAGATTGTCTATGTAGAGCAAAGTTGGAGTTCAGCAGTACAAGGCACAGAAAATCTGTGATGTTGCTGAACAAAACTTTTATAAAAGACCTCAAGAGATACTAATGAACAAAGTAGTGAATACCAGAGACTACTAAAAAGGGACCTTGGTGACAGCCTCTGTGGACCATGAATGATAATATCAAAAGCTTCTGTCTAGACATTTTTCCTTTTTATTCTGTTCTGTGAATGTTTTTCAAGGGTATGACTGTCAAACTTTCAGTTATTCCTTGTAATGAGAGGGTTTTGTGTTCCATTTAAACATAATTCTATTTACTAACTGAGCAAGCAAGTTTCTCACTTTTTGGGCCTGATGGTTATGTGTTTCTGCTGTTTCATTATTCTATGGAACAGGTGACCTGTGTGACTTGAGGTACTGTGAGGACTTAAAAAGCACAATTGCCTGTTCCAAACACTTTTAAAGGCCATAGAAGGACTTTTCCATGAGATAAGCACAGCAGGGAGCAATAGGATGGCATCAACACCAGGCCTGGCAGAGGTGAGATGTAGTTAGCACATTCTGTGCAATGAATCCAAACAAAAATTCCCACTGAAGCATACTGTAAAGAAGCAACTGCCTGTTAGTTGTGTCACAGGCCCAAAGAAAAATCACACCCAGTTATGGGACTGATGGCATCTGCAATGACAGAACACTGTGTCTCTGCTCTGATCCTTTCCTGCAAATATGTCTCCATGGGTACCTGGAACCTGGACTGTTAAGTCATTGTGACAGAAACCTGAGATACCACCTGGACAATAATATCACCTTTATCTTATCTCAGACCTAGGAGAGGTGAACAAACCTGGGGAACAAGAATGTATCACTTATAATGGACACAAAAATGTGGGATTTATGGGGCACAAGGAAAGTTAGTTCAGCAACTGCAGAAATCAGCTCCTACTTGGTAAAAGTTAATTTCTGCCGGGAGAAGCCACGACCATCAACTCATGGCATGCTAACCCAAGAAATCACTGACTCAAGAGAAACATTGTGGACTAATTAGCATGAGAAGCAAGGAAATAATCTAACCAATAGAATAAGAGAACTGTGTAGCCAATGAGCAATAATTGCTTTGTTTGCAGCAATGTATAAATAGATAATTTTGGAACAGTCTTGGGACCCCACTATCACTGGGAATCCCATGGTGGAAAAGAGTGAGTGGAATGCTGCTGGATCTACCAGTGGTGACCATCTTCAGCTTGCTTTCTCTCTGCCCTTCCCCATCTATCTCTCTCACATTTAATGCTAAATAAATCTGTGTTACTGACTTTGGTATATGGTGTTGTTTGCACCTTAATTTGGGAAGGGATCACTTAGATCATAACAGGTACTGAAAGAAAGTATAATTTTGGAGACTGAAAATATGTGTTATTTAACTGGGATTGCAGTGTTATCCTTTGGACTTGAATTAAGCATATATTTCTAAAGAAGAGTTGGACAAATCCACCTATTTAATAACTCGAACTTCTTTTCCCAAGTAGTGATGGTGAGAAAAAAATGGTAATGGAAAAAAAGATAAATTTGCATTTTCAATCCCCATCAAGCATGAAGTAGGTATGTTGGGTAGTATGTTATTATTCAACTATTAAAATACAATATGGCATCTTGTTTTGAGAGAGACGCATTGGTGGTCTGCGAAGCGAGGCATGTGCAAGGTGGGGTGTGGGACGAGATACTGGAGCCTCCATTTATGTGTACTTTCTACATTAAAAAAAATAAATCTACTAATACTTAATATACAGCTTGACACTGGTGCTCTGACTTGGTCCACATGTTAGATAACACCATAAGGTCACAGGGTCTACTCAGGGAAGAGTGGATGCTTCAAAATGTAGAGAGGTTGACAATGGTGCTGTCACTTGTTCATTCCCTTCAAATGTTTTGTGATGTGTTACAGTTTGTGTGTCCGGTTAAGTGGATTTAAACATTATATGGTCTACTTTTAGCTAAGCTAACCCTCACAAAACATACTTGTATCTTTAAAAGATGCCTGCAAAGGAACTTGTTGATCAAATGTAAGGCTAATAATGTGAGAACAAGTGAACAAGAAGGAAATGGCAGAGCTGACATTTCCAGTTATAGTGAAAGCAATGATCTTACCAGATCTGAAAAAAACTTGGAAAAAAAATGTTATAGAAATAAACTGAACTTTGAACCAGACTTTTGAATTCCTGCATCACAAAATATTGAACCAAATTGACAAAATCAATGGATCATATTAAATCACATACCTCTCCCTAAAAAAATGGAAGAAATTAGTTTTATTTTTAGGGTAAAGCAAAAATGGGATTTTAATGCTGTTAATAAGTACAATTATAATTAATTATTGGTTATTTAATCCTTAATTTACTTTGTTTTAATAGGTGCAGAATGTATTAAGAGTAGTAGATGTACATAACTTTTAAAGAAAAACCTATGCATGTGTTGGGAGTGTATGCTCAAATTCCTTTTACTTTATGCTCAATAGGTATATATGAGAAAAGAATTGGCGACTGTTGAACTACGGAATAGACACTTAAAGAGTAAATAGAGATTAGATCATTTACTTTCATTTGTTTAGTGTCCTATGACACTCTTGACTTGGTGTTATGGGGAATGGAAATTTGCCTGTGATTTGCCACAGTTTTCCTCACATGGGATGCCTCAGAGGTGAATCAGTTGTGTCATGTACAGAATACAGCATCCTGTGATGCTGCTGCTGCTCTGAGACGTGTTGTGCAGCATCTGAGTAATGAATTCAGCTAAAGAGTCTACATATTAACTGCTGGCATTTTGTTGAGTTCATTAACATCTTTTTTAGGTTTTAGCTTTTTAAAGTGAGTGGCTTTGACTAGAGTGATTAGCACTAACCTTGGTGCTGGTGGGAAGGTTAACATGACATAAAATTTTTTGGAACACAAACTTTGTCATGGTTGTCATTATATGAAACACTGCTGTATAGGTCAGCCAAGGACACCTTGATTAGTCAGTAACATCTTTTGATTAACATTTTCTTTTTCCCCCAATGACAGATATTTATTAATACAAGCTACATAATGAAGATTTATTTCTTCTACAGAACTATATACATGTTCTTGTATTTCTG